ATACTGAATACTGTCTTGTGGCAAAGAAATAAGCAAGAGCTAGGCAGGAGCATAGGGATTGTGATCAGCATTCAGAACAGGGTACACAGATTACCATAACTGTCATATACAATAAAATCTGTGCTTTGGAGAGCTGAATTTACCCTTTAAAAAGTAGCACTTTCATTGTATTTCATTTTTAGTTTTAGAAGAAAGCCTTTTTTTAAATTTGTGCTACACTTTTCCTTACATTGTTAAGCTGAACATAATTTTACCCCTTATTGACTCAGGGTCATTAATACGAATATCAGTTATTCTGTGCTGTATATGATAATGACTAAGGCCTACTGAGGCATGTTCGCCTTTACATTAAATAGCTAGCCTTTAATTACTTCAAGTCTTTATTTTCTCTCCTCTCCGTCTATTCACTGGCTGTAGGTCCTGTTTCACTGCTACTTATCAATAGCACTTTCATGTCCTTCATGCTAGAAAACCAAACAACCGATTGAGACTCGTAGTTAAACTAAGAGCTGAGGACTCTGAATAAGTGCATCTCATACGAATAAAGTACAGTGAGACCTGTGAGAGCCGGAACTCACCAGGACTGCCTTGTTTTCCTGGATCTCGCAAGGTTTCTGCCTTTGACAGGTGCAGTCTGACACTTTTTTATTGCTCTCCACCAGGAGAAAGTATTTGTGCTTTCCTTCTCTGACAGGTTTCCCTCTTATGCAGGTTCTGGCTTTCACAGGTTTGACTGTATATGCATTTTACTGTGTGGATTTAAAACATCTCTCCAGAGACCTATTCTGTGTACTTCCTAGTTCTTGGCTGTGTTCCAGGGACGGGAAACTATCCAAAACTGACTATGGATGGGTGAGGGGTGTCATTAATGAGATTTTATGTCCTATCCATGGTGGCTTTCTTATTTAAATCTGTTTTCTTTTTAATTCCAAAAATTTTGATTTTTTTATTTAAAATCTATTACTGTAATAATTATTACTCCATGGGACCTCAGGGGCTGTCATAAACAGTTACAAAGCAAATAATTTTCTACTTTTCTTCCTCAACATTTCTGGAAAATTACATGTTTGAGTTCTGTCTACAATTTGAGAAATTTTCTTCATGAAATTGAAAACAAAGCTTTTGGTTATTTCAAAGGTATTTTTCTTCACTAGAGAAAACAGCAGATTTAACTAGAGATCTTTCTACTTGCAGATAAGGTTACACCTGAATTACTTCCTCCCAAAATGGTTATCTTTCCTCTTTTTAAATAACAAGAAAAAGAAAAGTTATTTCTGTGAACATCACTTCAAAAGTACTACTTTTGTGTTGTCTTTGAACTGCATAATAAAAAGATGGAAAAAAATGGGTTGCTTTTAGAAACCTGGATAAAATAGAAATTCTAAGATAATGTTTCATAATGTATGTAAGTAGCCCAGTGATACACCCAATACTTAGGTGGTACACTTGGATATTAAATAACTTCGAATCACATAATGTGAAAGCTCTTCCCTCTTTAATTCTCTCCCAACCATTCTGATTACGTCTAGAAGGTGTGGTGTGGAGCTATTCTTCAGTACCTTGTAAGGGTCCCTGGCTGGTACATGGTTTGTAAATGGTTTGTGCCCAGCTGGTAACCAAAAGGTTGGCAGTTCAAACCCACCCAGTGGTACTGCAGAAGAAAAGTTCTGGTGATCTTCCAGTAAGATTACAGCCAATGTGGGGACCATGGTCTCGGGGAACATCTAGCTTAATTGGCATAACATGGTTTATAAAGAAAATGTTCTACATTCTACCTTGGTGAGTAGCATCTGGGGTCTTAAAAGCCTGTGAGCAGCCATCTAAGATACTCCACTAGTCTCACCC